GAGCTGGAAATAAAGCAGTAAATTTGACAAAGAGGTGTTTAATTTTCTTGCATTGTGGAAAAGTTTTTGTAACTTCCTGTGAAAGTGTTCCTGATGAGTTATCATCAAAATCAAATAAAAGTACAAATAATAAGAACTCTGCTGTATAACTTGACTTATAATTTCTGCTGATAATTTGGACCTTTAACTTCTGTGTGCAATATGTGATTGTTCTGTACCTGTTTTTTAGTATTAAAAATTTCCTTTAGTACTGAAGTGTATGCTGAGTAATGAGCACTTTTTAAAATTTGCATTTACAATTGTTGTATGGCTTACAAAAAATGGTTACACAAGATTATTAATTATGATATCAATATGACATAACCAGAAATAATAAAAGAAGGTGTGGCCTTGCAAGTGACTAAAATTTGTACTTCCTGGTGTTTTAAGCTAAGCAAGTGTCAGCTACAGAAAAAATGTGTTGCTGGAATAGAAAAATGAAGAAAAATAATGCCATAAATTTAGGAAAGAAGATTGAGAACATTGCTTTTATTGCTACTCTTGTCATAGTGCTGGGCTTATTCACTCTCCCAATAATATTCTATTTTACTTCAGTAAGTTGGAATCTATAATAATAACAATTAATAATATTAATCTAAAGCTTGAAACAACATTTATACTCTAGTATCAGTAGCAAATATGTATTCACAATTCAGTTTTGGGTCTAGTCTAATGCATGGCTGTGATCTACATGTAGACAATCTTTCCTGTATTCAAAATTATTTCGATCATTTTACATTTGCACATTATATACATTTTCAGTAAATGTGAACACAATACTTGTTTAGGACAACATATTTCGAGATAGTCTATTTTATTCTCAGCAATGTTTTCTGTGAAAGTGAAATTACTCATAACTTAACCAAAATACAAGAGATCTGATGCTAGCGTATAATGAAAATGAACAGAAAGTCTAATGCTTATGGCATACACTAGGTTAAAATTGTCAAGCATATATATGTTCCTAGAATAAAAAATGGCTGCTCTTGACCACATCAGTGGTATTGACTGTCACAAGTATACATACTCGGATGGCATGCATACCCACAATTTGTTACTTATCACATAGTTCATTGTGCATGCTTCAGTGGTAGAATAATAGACATGCTGCATTGGCTATAGTTTTATATTGTACACATGCACTACTAATTAGTTACATGGTATGTATAGCGGAACTAATAGTGAAAAACATGTTTATTTTGTGACTGGCTTAATTTAATAGACACGCTTTAAAAATGTGATCATCAGTAGGCATAATTCTATTGTAAGAATATTTGTTACTACTCACCTTAGTCATGTTGAATCAAGAGAAATGTCTTAGCAATAATTGTTAAGATTACATATTGAATTTACCAATTACATAGCCATTAATTATTCTAGAGTTATGATATCAGCACCTCTAACAATGCCAGTGTCAATTACACTGGATTTCAAAGCAATATTACTGGAATAAGCCAAAACTGTACCAGACTATCATGGAGTCAGGATAATGATGCCTCAGAATGTCATGAGTATATTGGAACTGCTTGTAAAAACTTCTTACATCAATGGTTTCAATGTACCATTGGAGAAGGTGAATTGAATATTGGAGTAAGTCAACAAGAACAAAATCAACATGAACAGACAATCACATCACTCAATACTTATTTAGGTAATGTCACAGCATTACAAGTAATTTTTATTTAGATACTATTTTACAGAATTCTACAAGCAATGTCAACAACAATCATCAGCTTTTATATGTCAATATTTCTTTCCGCTTGCTGACTGCTCAACTGGAAAATCTTACAAGGCTACCAAGGAAGACTGCCTCCTCATAAGTACAGGTGTTTGTTCAGACCTATGGGCACTAGCAAACAGGTTTGGGTATGGCTCACTCCTACCTGATTGTTCTACACTACCAAATGGTATGACAAAAAT